TCTATCTATCTATCTATCTATCTATCTATCTATCTATCTATCTATCTTAGATCATCTCTACCACCCACCCTTCAACACTGGCATACTTTTGTGTAATCTTCTACCTGTTTATGGCAAGTGGCAAAAGGCTTACGGGCCTCGAAGTAAAAATTCCCTTGGTTGCTCCTGCACTGAACATCTGGCGGCTTCCCGCTCTTACTGACATCAACTCTTCCCTTCCCACAACATACATTAAAACAGGGGTCGTCCAAATACAGCCCACAAGGCTTCTTTCTTTGCCTCTCCCATAAAGGAACTTTTGTTGCCACGCTGCAAAAAATACCACAAGGCACGGATTTCTTTGTGGAAAGGTTTACTAGCCCCTCGCCAGCATTTCCAATCAAAAAAAATTTTGAGGGTGGGATGAGGAGGGGGGGGGCACGGCGGCTTTCATAACTGGCCCATTTATTCTTCTCAGAAGCATTTCTTCTGCAGCACCGTGGAGCCAACCTCTCTGTATTCTTGCTGCGTGACCCACATGTTCTTAAACGAAGGCAAGCTGGTGAGCACCGACGCGCCAATCCACACGGAATGTATTCGGTTTGCTGGGGCTTCCAGCTTGGCCGGCAGGCCGTGAGGGCCTAGGCTTCTTAGCTCTTTGAGAAGACGTTCGCTGAGACCTGGAAAGAGGGTGGATCCTCCCGCTACGATAAGGCTTCTCCAGAGGTCCTGGTGGATGCTTCCTTCACATTTGGAGATGCTCTCGGAGATCATTTGGTGAATACCCGGCGCCGTAACTCCAGCATCCGTTGGGTTGAAGAGGGATTCAGGAGCACGGAAGAGCTGGTCCCCGATCTCCACAGGCGTGCCGTCAGGGAGGGTGTATCTGCGGACGGACGCTCTGTCTTTTGGGCGACTTGAATCCAGAGCCACGTAGCACAAGTTCTCCTTGATGTTCTTCACAATCTCCTTCTCAGCGGAGCTCAGGAAGTTGTGCCCGCTCTCCAGCAGGAGAGTGGAGAGATACCTGGTGATATCCCGCCCCGCAAAATTCATCCTGGAGATGGCATGGAGCAAGCAGTGGCCTTTGTAGATGGGTACGGTCAACGTGACGCCGGCGCCGCTATCTAAAACCAACCCCGTGGTGCGGCCAGCGGCGTACAAGGCCATCAAAGCCTGAAGGCCTACAAACATAGCCGGAACCTGGAAATGCTCAAACATGATCTCCGTCATCTTCTCTCGGTTTGCCGTTGGGTTCATAGGTGCTTCGGTCAACAACACCGGCCTCTCCTTGGCTCTTAGTTTGAGTCCATGCCTGTAGATGTATCTCCAGATCTTCTCCATGTCATCCCAAGAAGTCACTATCCCATGCTCCACTGGGTATTTAAAAGATAAGATTCCTCTCTTGGCTTGGGCTTCTTTGCCGACATAACACGTTCTCTGAACAGGGCCAAACATGATCGCCCGAGTCTTTGGGTAGCCGACAACTGTTGCCACCATGGTCCTAGGGGCCTCCTCCCCAGAGAAACCCGCTTTGCAGAGTCCTGACCCATTGTCAATAATGACCGCGGTTTTCAACTGAGACATCTTCAATCCGACGAGCGGAATTTGCAATGACTCTTTTTCCTCACTCTTCTAAGTAGGATGGAACGTTGCCTCCATCTAGGTTCTGGATTCTTAAGAGATCACAAATGGGTTTCCTTCTCCCTTTTCAAAACTGGCTTCTCGTATTATGTACGGGTGACGTGTATTTCTGGAAACAAGGTCTTCTCCGAATAGTCAAGACTTGTCTTGGAGAGATTGCAAGCATCCAACCGCGGGATGTTCAGAGATAATTGCTATGACTGGTTGTCTTTCTGAATCAGGCTCAACGAAAGAGGTTTCCGGTGGCCGAGGATGTTGGACACCATGATGCTTCTTGCTTTCAGATCCTAGAAATGAGCTCACTGGTTTCAATTTCTTCACAATTGCTCCTCTGTGGTGTTAAGTTTGGATGGTGGTCTTCTCTGTTAAATTTTTGCAGATGTTTCATAAGCTTTCAGTTTGATTTTCAGTGGTCAGCCAATGGAGAGCACCTTGAGGTTGACATCAGAAAAATGCTATGACATCAAAAGAGAACAATGGAAGTGCTAAGATGGGCCCAGTATATTGATGGCCACCTAGGTTAACCTCTGGTTAGACAACTGAGAAACCAAATGAAAATAAAAATCAGTAATAACAAGATTACTGGAGGATTCTAGGTGTTTCTCCATCAATAACGGCAACCCAAGCCCCCAAATTATATGGAATTTTAATCTGAATTGATAGCAGGTTGCAGCATTGACTGTTCCTTGAAGAGCCATCAACATCTAAAATATTATTTAGGTAAGGACGAATCTAACCCTGCGGGCAAGAAGCAAACTACTCCAGAAAGAATTGATAAAAAATTAATATTTGTAGCTCAGGGTTGAAATGAAGGGTCCTTGGTGCTCCCTGAGCTTGGTTTTTGTACTTGCAGATGTTTCATTACCAAACTAGGTAACATCATCAGTGCTAGAGTAAGAGTTGGGTTTGCTCTCAGTTTATATTCTACTGGTTTGCCCTTCAGGTGGCCTTGGAGGTTCTCCTTCCCCAGTGGCAGTTGGTTGGGCCGTTTATTCTTAGCTTGACTGGCAGTTTCTTGATTGGGGTATTGTTTGCTTCTTGACTGATGGTCTGATCTTAAATTTTGGACTTCATCTATGCTCGTTTTTCTGTTGATTGCTGGTGGGGAGGTCTTTTTGTTCCCATTTTGGTCGTCGATTTTTGTCTTCTGCACAGTATGTAGCTATTGTTTAAGCCTGCGTGTCTGTTGATGGCTAAATCTGTCAGATAGCCAGGCTTCTAGAAATTCTCCAGCGTTTTTGGATCTGGCTTGGTCTCGGATGGTTCCAACTGAACTTATGGTGAACCCAGTCCATACGCTGTGAAATTAAAGAGTTTTCGTCATGACTTCTCACTGCTAGTTAGTGTTAATCGATGTGTTCTGCTAATAATCTTGTGCTTGTTTGTCTTAACTTGTGGCTGTTGGGGTCTCATGATACTATTTGTTGTAGATGACTCCTGTTTTTTCCTTTGGGGATTACTACTGAGAAACTCCAGACCCCGGGCTGGTTTTTGCTGCTTTTCCTTATTCAATTACCTAAATCTGTGTATAAATATTGGTTGGGAATGGTGAGAAGGTGAGTGAACTGTTAGTGGAGAAGGTGGCTTAGAAGGTATTGCTCTTGAGACAGGACAAAGACCGAGAAACTTAAAAAAACCTTGTTTTAATTTTGTTTGGCATTAGACGGCATCAGACAGGCTCCCAGGATTCTATTATTAAACCCTACAATAATAACTGGTATTCTCAAAACCTTTAAAGCTTTTGTTGTCTGAACTTGCCTACAGGAAGAGTGGATGGGATGGGTTGGGGCTACAGGAAGACAGTCCAAAGTTAGAAGAAACTGGACAGATGAATGGTATGGGGCCTCCTGTTTGAGCAGAGCGGGATGGACTAGATCTAAAACCCCGAAGGCCAGGCAAGGAAGAATGGATGGAAACTGAACAAGGAGAGATTCAACCTGGAAATAAGGAGAAACTTTCTGAGAGTGAGAACAATCAACAATCAACCAATGGAACAGAAGTTGCCCTCGGAAGTTGTGGGAGCACCATCACTTGAGACTTTCAAGAAGAGATTGGACTCCCATCTGTCAGAAATGGTGTAGGGTCACCTGCTTGGGGAGGGGAGTTGGACTAGATGACCTACAAGGTCCCTTCCAACTCTGGTTATCTGCTATCTGTTAAGATCTCCAAGCAGGAAGAACATCAAATCCAGATAGTTTCTCAGGCTTTAAAATCAATTATTTATTTAACCTTTTGGGGGAAAAGGTGGAAACGCTTGCTATTTTTTCTTCTTTCTTTGAATTGCCTTCAGCTCTGAGCCCAAAACAGGAGACATTTTCCCGTTCCCCCTTCCTCAATAGCACCGTCGGTGGACAATATTTGGCCCATATTCTCGGTAGTCGGCAGCCGTCACCCACATCTGTTTGAAGGTGCTCAAGGAGGTGATGATCGACGCCCCGATCCATGCCGAGAACCACCGGTCTGGGGGAGCAATGACCTTGAGGGGGACGCCTTGCGGGGCTTCTGCTTCCAGGCCTTTGAACATCCGTTCGTCCAAACCTGGGAAAAGAGAGGACCCTCCCGAGATCAGCACATTGGAATACAGCACGTTACGGATGGTGGGGTCGCATTTCTTGATGCTGTGGGCGACGAGTTTGTGGAGGCCCTGGCCCTTGTGGTTGACGTTGCTCGGAGTGAAGAGGATCTCCGGGGCCAGGTAAAGGGGGTCCCCAATCTGGATCCGGTTGCCGTCAGGAAGCTTATATTCTTTGGGGAGCTCTTCGGAGGGCTTGCTCTCTCGGTGGTGGGCATCCAAGGCCACAAAACACAGCTTGACCTTGATGTCCTCCACAACGGTGTTGGCTTCCGGGAAGTTCCAGAAGTACTGCCTGTTTTCCAGAAGAAGTTCTCTCAGGAACTGGGTGATGTCTCGGCCCCCCAGGCCCAGCTGGCAAACGGCGTGTGGGAGACAGTATCCCTCATACACCGGGACGGCGTGGCTGACACCAAACCCACAATCAATGACAATCCCCGTGTAACGTGCAGAAGCATAGAGGGAGAGGATGGCCTGGATGGAGAGATAGAAAGCCGGGACCTTGAAATATTCAAACATCAGCTGGGTGAGCTTGGCTCGGTCCTCTTTGGGGTTCAGCGGAGATTCCGACATCAGCAGAGGTCTCTCGAAGGCCTTCACCCCCAACCCTTTGTCGTAGATGTACTTCCAAATGGTCTCCATCTCGTCCCAGGAAGTGATGACGCCCGCTTCGATGGGATAGGTCAACGAGAGGACGTCTTGTCTATTCTGGGCTTCAAATCCCACGTAGCATTCTTTCTGTTTAGCCTTGGAAAGAGGCAACTTGCTTCTGGGGTAACCAAGGACGGTGGCCATGACGTGCCGTGGGTTAATTTCTCCAGAAATTCCCGATTTGCAAAGCCCGGAGCCATTGTCAATGATCACAGCTTGGGAGCTGGAAATTCGAGTCTTGGGAGCTGAAGATGCGAAGCCCTCTCGGCCCATTTCAGGATAAGGTCTATCTGTTCAGCACCTGGCCATCAGAGCGCTAGGAGACTCCGAGACGTACCTTTGAGTGTTTCCTGGGAATGAAAACACTTTATCAGTCTGAAAACAACAACCAAAAAACCTCCACAGTCTCTCCCATTTGAGAAAATTGGAAAAATGGTCCATAGTCATGACTTCACAATGAATGAGGTCCTGTCTAACAATTGTTGAGTTGTCTCTAGGAGACCAGAAAGTTCAAGGGATCCTTCAAAGCTACTTTGATAAAGATTTCGAGTCTTCTCTCAGTCAAAATTCACTATCTTGGATGTTCTTCAGAGATTTCAAGATCCGCTATCTTGGAAGGTCTTCAGAGATTTCAAGATCTGCTATCTTGGATGTTCTTCAGAGAGGTCCTTCAAATATTTAGGATGGAACCAGAAAGTTCAAGAGGTATGTCAGAGATACTTCGATAAAGACAAAGAGGCTTTCGCCTTTTCTCCTTGACAAGATCCACTATCTTGACCAGAGGATGGTCTTCAGATATTTAACATGAGCTCTTCCACAAATGCAAAATAAAGTCCAAAACATATCAAGAACATAAGACTATCTTCTCGTCTCTGTCTCCATCCCTGCTATTTCAGTTGTTGGGTTTCTTAGAATACAGAACAATAGGATTGGAAGGCCCCTTCTAGTTCATGCTCTTAATCAAGCAGGAGTCCCTCTACCCTTCTCTTCTTGCAATACAAAATTGCAAAAAAAAATTGGAATGACCACTAAGGGGCCTCCAAGAGATCAGAGGTGTCTTTCCTTGTTGCTGCCCCCCTACTGATGATCAGGAGGGTTGCACCCTGTGTTGGAAAAGCACTAGATTTACAGAGCTGTTCATTCACTGTAGGAAGCAAAAATCAGTGAAAACTCTATAAAATGCATTTTATTTTTTTTGTCTCAGATCAATTTGGTAAGAAGGGAGGAAATTAAGTCGGCCCTCCTTCTGCCCAACTTTTGTTTATTTTCAGGAGCCTAATTTATCAACGCCCACCTACCAACCTGTCTTGTCTCTTTGGCCCTCCCCACCTCAGCATTTTCAGTCGCCGCGGGAAGCAAGTCCATCCTATCTCTTTATTAAGCAAGGACAGCAAAATAGGGCTTCTGAAGAACAAAGGACAATGAAGAAAATGCAGCGTGGTCCTTACATCTGTGACTCCATCATTTATTTACTGACCGTTCTAGCCAGTCCACACACCCAAAGGCAGATTTCATATATACAGTACATATAAATACAGACATATGAGAAATCTGTCTTTGGATAGACAACAACAGAAGTTCAAAGAATTATGTGTCATCCATGAACGTTCTATGTCCTGATAATTATTTGAACTTCCACTGTCCTAACTCATTGACAAAGGGAGACGATTCTTCCTAAAAACATTTCCGGTGCACCACGCCAGGTCCAAATTCTTGGTAGTCGTTCAAGGTGACCCACATCTGCCTGAACGCTGTTAAGCAAGTCAATATGGAGGCCCCGATCCACACGCAGTACTTCCTTTCCGGAGGAGCGATGATCCTCACCGATATCCCCAGAGGGACCTGAAGTTGCATCTCCTGAAGGATGCGCTCATCCAGCCCGCAGAACAACGTTGATCCGCCCGAAAGGAGGATATTGCCGTAAAGATCTCGCCGGACGTCGATGTCACATTTCATGATGCTGTTGAAGACCATCCGGTGGACGCCCGGCGCATCAATGCCGATGTCGGTGGGGGCGAAAAGGGCCTCAGGAGCGCGGAAGAGTTGGCTCCCAATTTGGATGACATTGCCGTCGGGTAATTTGTACTCTCTGAGAAGGTACTCCAGCTTAGTTTTCATTTCTTGGACGGGATCCAACGCGACATAACACAACTTCTCCTTGATGTCCTTCACAATTTCTCTTTCAGCCGTGCTGACGAAGGAATGCCCGCTCTCCAGAAGGAGCCTCATGAAGTATTCTGTGATGTCCCTCCCGGCCACGTCCAACCTGGAGACCGCGTGGGGTAAGCAGTACCCTTCGTAGATGGGAACTGTGTGGGTGACCCCATCGCCACTGTCCATGACTATGCCGGTGGTACGTGCTGATGCATAGAGTGCCAAGGTGGCTTGGACGGCTACGTACATCGCTGGGACTTTGAAGTTCTCGAACATGATCTGAGTCATCCTCTCCCGATTCTGGAGGGGATTCAGAGGGGCTTCGGTCAGCAACACGGGCCTCTCACTGGACTTGAGCCTCAACTCGCAGTCATAAACGTGCCTCCAGATCCGTTCCATGTCATCCCAGGAGGTCACAATGCCGTGATCGATGGGATAATTCAAGGATAAAACGCCACGTTTGGACTGAGCTTCTTCCCCAATGTAATATTCTTTCTGACCTGCGCCAAGCATGGTGGCTTTGGCTTTTGAACGGCCCACGATGGCTGTGATGACGGACCTTGGGGCGCTATCGCCAGCAATGCCAGCCTTGCACAGTCCGGATCCATTATCAAAGATGACAGCTGGGATATCTAAAAATCTGGGATCGGACATTCCGTAGACTGTTTCCTTGCTCACCTGGAGAAATGGTCTGGATTGGAGGCCGCTTAGAATACTTGAAAGGTTCTAGAGCAGTGATGTCATACACGCTATTTCTTCAGGGGATACAGCTTGAGAAGCTAGAAATATGCTACTCCCAATGTTAACAGCACAATAACAGAGTCAGAAGGGACCTCAGAGATCTTCTAGTCCAACTCACTGCTCAGGAAGGAGACCCTATACCATTCTGGACAAACAGCTGTCCAATCTCTTCTTAAATTAGTGATGGAGTCCTCATAATTTCCGAAGGCAAGCCATTCCACCGATTAATTGTTCTCGCCATCAGGAAGTTCCTCCTTATTTCTAACCCATCTCTTTCTGATTGGTTTCCATCCATTGCTTGTTGTCCTTCGCCGTCGATTAGGTGTTAACAAAATATAGTGGAACCTCATGCTCAACTGCATCAAAACTCGTCAAAAGTTGATACCGAACAATGATGTGAAAATATTGTCCCAATACTCGGCCTTTGTTTAGTACTCATTGTGCTGCTATAGGAAGAGGGGGAACAGCTGAGGGGAACGGACAGGAAGTCTGCCGTACTAAGAAAGTTTCTGTCATGGGAAAAGGGACAGACTGAAAGTTCTTCCTGGCTGGAACAAACGGTTACGTGGTAGGTTATGTGGTTTGTTTGAGGATTGTCCTTTTTAGTATGCATTGCAAACAATGCTGAGTAGCGGGATACCCACCGTAATGGTTGATGTCTGGATGAAGGCACTGCACCAATAATCTTCTGGGAAAAGGAGAACGTGAGAAGAAGAGTAGCCCAAAGAATGGAAAACATCAAGGATTCTGGGAAAGAAAAGATACGAGTTCAAGTAGAACCAGTATACTGCTTAGTCGCCCCGGGGCAGAAAGCTTTTTTTTTTCACTTTCTTCTGCTTGTATCCCGGATCAATGCAATTTACTTCCATGGCTGTTTTGGTGTTGCTGGGTTTTTTTTTTAAAAAAACCATTGAAACCAATGGTCCAGTTAATGAGAATCGCAAAGGGAAACTCATACCTGGTCTCAGGGTTATATTTTAACCGATTCTGCTTAGGGCTGTGAATGGAAAAAAAAAAATCCATCTGATCCTTGGGAGGAGGGAAAAAGAAGAGATGATATGTGATTTCCAGGGCTTTAATTCTAGGTTGTATTTTTTTTTTCCCTTTTATAACTATGTCGTGGAAAAGTGCAGAAGATAGTGAGGTTGAAAGACCATACCAAACCATAATTGTATTAAATTTAATAAGGGCAGGAAATAAAATAATATGTGGATTAAATAAGGACGTGGAATAAAATAATAAGTGCATTAAATAAGGATGTGGAATAAAATAATGTGGATTAAATAAGGGTGGGAAATAAAATAATAAGGGGATTAAATAAGGACGTGGAATAAAACAATGTGCATTAAATAAAATAAGGATGTGGAATAAATAATAATAATGAATAATAATAATAATACTATACTTGTGGAATGAGAATACTTCAACCCCTAAATTTATTTGTAGTTCAATATCAAGTTATAGAGAGGTATAAACATCCGTTGCACAACAGATGGAAATATAGGAATGAAATTAATTATAGAAGGTTCAGGGCGGGTGTTGAGTTTTGCCTGGTTTATCATTTTATTTTACCTGTTATCGCATTTTTTTAAATTTCCAACGGATGGTTCTTCTCGCCCTCACCTGCAGGCTGCACTTCAGAAAATTATCCAGCCTGGGTGATGAACATAAACTAGGACCGGAATATTAAAAAGAAAAAGAAAAAAAGAGGCACCATTGAATCCATCGTGAATGGTCTTGCAAGTCTATTTTAATTGCTTCCCTCCATAGCCTGAAGTTATGGGCAGCTTCAAAGAAAAGTTGGCCTTCAGTAACCGGCATCATTTTCCGGGGAAGCGGCCAAGGAGCTGCATTTCCTTCAAAGTAAGGACTCCGTGGAAAGACACGAGATCCGACTGGCCCTCCAAAATCTTGCACCCTGAAATTTAGGGTCTGGTTCCAAGGAAAAGCTATCCAACTCCCCAAGTCTGATTTTTGAACCCAGGGAATTCTGCCTGCATCCTTCAAGAGGTTATTAGTTTTCGGAGAAGCTTCTTGGACGTTTCCGTTGTTCCTCCTGCCTGTGTTCACGTCTTCGGCTCAGCGGGAAAGATTGGGGACGTCATCCTTGTTGGCGAAGCCGCCATGTTTCTGGAAGATTAACGGCCTCTCGGGTGGGTTCGGGTGATGCAGGGGTCCCCAACCTTGGCAACTTTAAGACTTGTGGACTTCAACTCCCAGACCTTTATTAAGTGAGCTTCATCCCATTTTACCACATTTTTTGCCACTGTTCTTAAGTGAATCACTGGAAAAGGGAGGGAGGGAGGGAGGATCTTTCCTTCCTTCCTTCCTCCCTCCCTCTCTTCTTCCCTCCCTTCTCCTGCTTTCTTCCCTCCTCC